TGCTGTCATTTGTACTGGTTTTGCTTTCTAATTTCAAAACCAGGAGACTCAGAGATGTGGGGGATGATTTCACAAGCTAGCTCACCTTTTTGGGGAGCTGGGAGGGAGTCTTCAGTGGATTCTCACAATAGGTAGGATCTCAGCAAAGGAATGAGAGGCATTGCTCCCATCTTCTAAACTGGAGATCTGAGCTGTGCCATTCCCCTGTAAACTGAGCATGCAGCTTCTTCAGCATTTAGTCTCCAGCTGTCACACTGTAATCTTCCCACTGGGAAATGTTTCCTGACCAAGTTTGCTAGAGCCTTATAATAACAAATAGTATTTTTCAAAGTTGCTCGCCAATGCTACACATTCTACAAACTACTTGTATGCCTTATCTCATGCCCTACAGAAAGGAAGGCATCCTCATTTTCCATAAGACAAAAAGCCACAGCACACCTGAGCCCAGGGAAGTCTTGGTCCAGGCACATAGTTTTTCCAGCTCTGGGACATGGCTCATAAAGTTTGAACAGTTTTATGGGCATCCCATCTGTCACTGCTTCCAGGACAAAAGAAGAGCTGCAATAACCAATCTTTTCAATTTAGGAGAAGTAGAGGCCATGCTTTGGTGACTATGGACACAAGCTCTTCCTTAAGCTATGCTTTGATTAGAAGAAGTAACCTTCAAGGAATCAACCCCATGCTTTCAGTTATATCTCATTTTCTAAATTGATGGCATGACATATTATTTGTGCTCATAAAAAATGGTTCTAAAATTTGCTACTAGAATTTAAATGTCACTGAGGGTTTTTTGGATTTAAAGAACTAGGAGTTTATGCTGTGAGAAACCACATGGCTTCATGTATTCTCAAGAGTCCTAACTGCATATCAGGAGAAAAGTATGCCTCCCTGAAAGTCCATTGTCAAATGGTGCTCAAAGCAGAGATCATTCAAAGTTTATTTGACCAATTGCCTATGCATTGATCTCCTCTAAAAATGCCCAGTTAGTATGACCATCTTTGCTTACCACGCTTATGCCTCGTGGGATGAGTGAGATGATGGGCAGTGCTAGGGCCATTAAAGTTCACTAAGTTGGGATCTGGGGAGGTGACACAGCCAGTGAAGTGCTTGCCAGATACATGAGGACCTAAGCTCAGCTCACTAGCACCCATTTAAAAGCCAGGCATGACAGTACTGGCCTGTGTAGAATGAAGTGTTAAATAGTCGTATTAATAAAAAAAACCCAGAACCAGATATCAGGGTTAAAATCTGAGAGATCAGAGGAATAACCTCACCTCACCAACTCCACAGCTTCCAAAGAGACCTGCTTCCGTTATACCCAACTTATATGCCTTTCTGTTCTGCCAACTCATTTCCTCTCTCCACCCAGCTACATCACTTCCTGCCCAGCTCTGTCACTTCCTGACTGTCTGTACAGACCTCCAGACCTTTATGGTTAACTCGTATTGGAATTTAAGGTGTGTGTCACCATGCCTGTCTCTGTTTCTAGTGTGGCCTTGAACTCACAGAGATCCAGACAGATCCCTGCCTCCCAAGGGATAGGATTAAAGGTGTGTGCTACCATTGCCTGACTTCCATGTTTACTATAGTAGCTGGCTTTTCCCTCTGACCCTCAGATAAACTTTATTGGGAGACACAGATAAAATATCACCACAGGCCTGTATTTCCAATGTTCAGAAAAACAGACATATACCCTGGGGGCGCTGGCAAGCCATTGGTTCAGTGAGAGACCCTGTCTCCAAAAATAAGATGGAGAGTGGAGAAAAGATAATCAGTGTCAACCTCTGGCCTCAACATGCATGCACATACACATAAACACACACATTGAACATGCATACACACATTGAAAATACACACACAAATGATTTTTTTTTTAAATACACTAATCCCTTTTAGATGGACTTGGGATCACCCATTATGGCTTTCTCATCCTTTAGCCCTACCCTGATTCTATAATCCAGATCTGTTTATTCTACCTTGTAAAGTGTGTTCCAGTTCTGTCTACAACCCCCTCTTCTTTTTTCTCTTTGTCTTCTCTCATCACTCAAGCTCAAAGCACTTCAAAGCACTTTCACTGTTTCAGCAAGAGAATAGTGACATCAGGAGGTGTGTTTGTTATTGCCCAAATTGTTTGTCTACTTGGAAAACAGAAAAGAGAAATCTGATGATAGAGAAGTTATAGAGTGCTTTTTAGAGAGAAGAGCAAAACTGCTTTCAAAGAAAACTAAAGATGTTCAAATACGTATGTTTGTTGGTTTGTTTTTACATCTTATGTGTTTATTTGCTCTGTGAGCACAGGCAGAGGGCAAAGAACAACTTTCAGGAGTTGATTCTGTCTTTCTACCATATGAGCACAGGTATCAAACTCAGGGCAACAGGCTCGGGGGCAAGTGCCACTAAACCATCTCACTGGTCCTAGAAACAAATGTTTGAAATAGTTTGGCTGACTTTAATTAAACTGTTTTCTGTGTCTTCCAAGGTAGGATTTGTATTTTTCACCTTGGTTGTTGAAAGAAAGAAAGAAAGAAAGAAAGAAAGAAAGAAAGAAAGAAAGAAAGAAAGAAAGAAAGAAAGAGAGAAAGAAAGAGAGAGAGAAAGAGAGAAAGAAAGAAAGAAAGAAAGAAAGAAAGAAAGAAAGAAAGAAAGAAAGAAAGAAAGAGAAAGAAAGAGAAAGGAAGGAAGGAAGAAAGAAAGAAAAAGAAAGAAAGGAAGGAAGAAAGAGAGAGAAAGAAAGAAAGAAAAAGAGAGAGAGAGAGAAAGAAAAAGAAAAAGAAAGAAAGAAAGAAAGAAAAAGATAGAGAGAAAGAAAAAGAAAGAAAGGAAGAAAAAAGAAAGAAAGAAAGAAAGGAAGGAAGGAAGGAAGGAAGGAAGGAAGGAAGGAAGGAAGGAAGGAAGGAAGGGAACAGTAAATGTCTGCATACCAATGGGCACCAGTTTCCCAGCTAGCTCTGGGATAGTTGTCGGAAGAGCAGTAGATAGTCTATTTAAGCTCTAGCCAAAATTCTTCAAAAGCAGCAATGTTGGTAGAAGCCTGAATCTCAGGATACTCCTCTACATTGATCTAGTAACCCTGTCCTACAATGAAGGCGTGGAACCCTGGAAATGCACTTAGAAAACAACACAAGATGGCTTCAAATCATGCTTCCACCCCTAGCACCATCTGCTAGTCTCCCAGCATAGTTGACAAGTATAGAAATCTGAGTGCCCATACTGCAAGTGAAAAGTGTCAAGCCAAGTGTGGTGCCTCCTTCCTACAGTATTAACTCTTGAGAGACTCAACCTGAGTTCCAGGCAAGTGTATCCCAAAAAGAAAAGGTGTCAGGTGACTACTTGCAGAGAATACTGAGGTGTTTGCTTATTAAAATAAACAAATAAACAAGCAAACAAACACCAAATGGCTGCTTAGAATGTCTCTGATGTAAATAAAGGTTCTTCCCCAATCGCTTACTTTCAATTTGCTTTGTCTTCTTGTTATAGATTCTTCCAAGATATAAAGTATATGTTTCTCTTTCTCTCTCTCTCTCTCTACACACACACACACACACACACACACACACACACCTCTTGAGACAGGGTTTCATATGGTTCCAGGCCAGACTGGAGCACTCTATGTAGCTTAGTCTACCCCTACACACAAGTTCCACCTGCCTCTGCCTCCCAAGCTCTTGGATTGCAGGTGCACACTACACAGCTTAAGTGTTTCTCTATTTTATTTTAACTAGGGAGCATGATTTGCTTATGATAAAAATCCAAGGTTTAAGTTGGCATCTTAGACAAGGGTCTCTCAGTAGTTTCTAGCCATGCCCAATAGGCAAATCCACTGGCCAAAAGCATATTGAAAACATAGCAGACATCTTTTGCCTGAGTTAACCGCTCCTGGAGACAGCAAACCCTTGATTATTATGGTTTATATGTAACCAAATCAGAGCATTCTGGTTCAAGGCAACCTGATTATCAAAATAGTGATTTGTTATAAATTCTTGATGTCCTGTCTGAAGCAAATCAAGTGAAATTATTTCATGGGTTAGTGAAGCGTTAGGTGAGTGGTGTGAGGACAAAGGACCCTCACTCCATAATGAATACTGGAGACTCAGAGGAGTGAAAAGTGAGGCAGATTATTTTATGATCTTGAGGGCTCCAACCCAGCAAAATGGCAGGCATCCTATTGCTTTCTGAGAGTAGTATTTATCACCCTGAACTCAGGTCCCTCCCTCCTTTTCCTCATTGGTTAAGCAATCAGGGAGAGGGGTTCAGTCTTACCCATTACCTGCTACTTCTATTTGTCTATTTCTCCAACAAAGCCTCCATGCGCATTTATTTCTACATTTTGTATCCTGCTTATTTTAAAGCTTTGCAAGTGCCCCACATCTGCGGGTCACTAGGTAAGCTCAGCTGTTAATGATTTTCTACTCTGAGCTTGCAGTTTTGGTGAGGAGAGATGAACTAGCAATTTCCAGTCAGGGTCCAGCGTTTTCTGTCCTGTTTACTGTGGCAGGACTTAAGCTGACTCTCATAACTTTCATCTTGAAAATGACCTTTGTTTGTTTTAAGTGAGAGGTATGAAGAACAGATACAGTACTTCCTAAACTGGACTGGAGTATCCATGGTCATGAGGATTCTTTAACTTGATAATTCCAGGCAATTGGATTTGTGGAAACTTCAGCAAAATCCTTTTCAGTCTACGAATCTGAAGAGGTCCTGTGACCTTTCTTCCCTGGAATCACTCCTTAAGTACTTTCTCTACTCTACTATGAGGAGCAAAAAGCAGAATACTTCACCTGGTTCAGGTCTTAGATCATTTTGTGAATGGCTAAAAGGAAAATTGAATGTGGCGCATATCCCTGTTCCCAAAGAGAGGTAAAGAATGTGCTATTTTCCCCATGGAGTTTGGTTAAACTGTGATTGACATGCAGTCTGTACAATTGATAGCAGAACACTGTGCCCCAGCAGGATCTCAGCAAGTATTTTTGATTAAGTCTAATCTATACTTCTCTTTGCAGCAAGTGAGCAACAGATGAAGTTGGTGTGCAAGGAGTCCCCAAAGGAGTATCTGCAGCCTTTCAAGGACAAGCTGGAGGACTTCTTCCAGAAAGGTAGGAGGCTTTCCTACCTGCACATCAGGGACTCAGGAACCTTCTTGACGGCACTCTCACTGTGGCTCCCATTGCCACTCAGGCGCTGACTGACCATAGACAACACAACAGGGTCTATGGTCCATCTTCCAACAGTGGTTCCATCCCCAGTGTAGATGGAGTTGCCCTGTAGCCTTTATGTCACCTTCTAAGACCATTTCATACTTGTCAATCATTCATTGTCATTCCTGCTTTTGAAATATTTTGAAGGCAAACCTCTCTATCTCTTCTGGAGCACAAGTGTCCTTGGTACATGCTAACTGACCACAGTGTGTATGTGCAAAGCTTATAGCACAGGTGTCTTTGGTAGATGTTAAATGACCACAGTCTGTTTGTGCAAGCTTACAGAACAGGTGTCCTTGGTAGATGTTAACTGACCCCAGTGTGGTCATGCAAGGCTTACAGCACAGGTGTCTTTGGTAGATATTAACTGACCACAAGGTGGACGTGAAAGACTTATGTAGTTCCCCAGCTCAGATTTGTGGTCAGCCCTGACAGGTTGGTGAGAATTATATTTCTGGTCTCATGAGGATGACAACTTGGAAACTTGAAATTTGTTCTTGTTCGTTGTACTATATTTTCCATTCCTTTACAGAGAGGCAAACTGGGGCACAGTAAATGTCATCATCTGACTGCTTGGCACCAATTGGCTCTTTGGGATACCCAGGAGACCCAGCACTTACTTAGAAACCTTTGCAGATTCTGTACCTTCCTCCATATTTTTGGTAGAACTGGGAAGCGTTTTATTGATCAGGGTTAGTGAACATGAAAATACAATGCTTTTACATATTTGCTATTTTAATTTCCTGAATTCAGTTTTAAAATTTGAAAGAAAAATAAGTGTGGAATTTTTGGAGGGAACTTTCTTCTTTACTAGAAAGCCAGGGGAAATGCATGCGGGAAATTTCAACATGCTGTTTCTATTACTGAATAAGGCCACATGATACCATACCATCAATAAAAGGCTGCTAAGTTGGGTCAATTGACAAAGTATGGCCAAACCACCTTGGAAATTAGCAGAGAAATTCTCAGTCCATGAGTCACAGGAACTCCATCCCAGCTGTTCCCTCTGTGCAGACATCACTGCTCTTTCCTCTGTGGCAAAGCCTTGTTTTTGTGAATGCAGAAGTCAGAGTTGGTCTTCCCCTCATGCCCGATGGGAGTAATGGATCAGGTTCAATACCATCTTGAGAACAAACAACAATTCAAATGTTTTGTTCTGTGTGCATTGACTAGGTAGGTTTTTTTTATGTGATTCCTCAAGGTAAATGTGTTGCTTTATGGTTATACTATACATATATAACCTATGGATGCTTCCATAACCAGAAGATACTTCTATTTGCTACCCTTAATTCATAAGACTGTTTCTTTTCACATATGCAAAATGAACTTGAAATGAGGTGCATATGGCTTAGATTCTATACTTTTTTAAAATTCATATTATTGTATATCTGGAAAATTCTAACATGTATATATTGGGGTTTTTTTTCTGCCTGCATATCTTAATGACCTTAAAGTCTTTCTTTAAAAGAGTCAGTATCTTGATACATTGAGAATTCTATTATTCTGTTGAAAAGAGATAGCTATGAATAGGTTAGAACCTTGAAAACCTGTCATACTTTGGAAATTTCCTACATTTCTCAGCTCAAGGAAGCAAGACCTAAAGTAATGCTCTAGAATTTTAAAAATTCAAGTATTTTGATGTGGTGGAATGTTCTGTATGCTGTGAATGTGTGTTGCTCTGATTGGTTGATAAATAAAATGCTGATTGGCCAGTAGCCAGGCTGGAAGTATAGGCAGGATAAGTAGATGAGGAGAATTCTGGGAAGAGGAAGGCTTCGTCAGGAGTCTCCAGTCAGACATAGAGGAAGCAAGATATGAAGACGAAACTGAGAAAAGGTACCAAGCCATGTGGCTAAACATAGATAAGAATTATGGGTTAATTTAAGTGTAAGAGCTAGTCAATAATAAGCCTGAGCTAATGGCCAAGCAGTTCATAATTAATATAAGCCTCTGTGTGTTTACATGGGTCTGAGCAGCTGTGGACTGGGTGGGACACAGGAAAACTTTCACCTACATTTTGATCATATTGACCCTGCCCCCCAACTCAACCCAGATCCATTCTCTCCATCTTCACTTTGCTACCTGTTTAACTTTTGTATCTTCTTTCTTAAAAACAAAACAAAACAAAACAAAACAAAAAACTCCATTGGATCCAGTTTGTGTTGACTAACTATACTTGTGAGTGGGTCATGCCCTTCCAAGTCACACCATTAAAGAAAATGGACTCTGTCTCTCTCAGTAGCTATCAAATGTCAGTAGCTCCTCAGCTATCAATGGGACTTCATGCCCACGCTAACCCCCATGCTGGGATTTATTTTTTTCTGGCTTATGCTTGCACAAGTCTTATGCTTGCTGTTACAATCTGTATGAGTTTATATATGCAACTGCCCTGTTGTATATAGAAAACACTTTCTTTAAAGTTATCCACCACTTCTAGCTCTTAAAACATTTCTATCCTCTCTGCCTCAAATATCCCCAAGTCTTGGGGTTAGGGGTGTAATATGTACATCTCCTTTAGGGACAGTCACTTATCTCTATTAATCACCATCAACTAGAAGAAGCTTCTCTGATGATGGTTAATGGATGCTATGATCTGTGGATAGCAAAAGTAACTAGGAGTCATTTTAATATTATGTCTATATATAGAATAATAGTGTTGGCTTCTCCCTGAGAGCCTGTAACCTATCTAGCCATGTGTAGTTAACAATGTCAGACGTAGTTTCCATTCTGTGGAGCACACCTTAGATACAATCAGAAAGTGATTGGTTACTCCCATAGCATTTGTGCTACTATTGCACCCATATCTTGTCAGGCCAGTTGTTGCTGGAGGGCTTCTCTCCAGGTTTCCCAAGCCCCGCAGTCCCACAATCCACTTATAAAATAATCACTCAGACGCTTATATCACTTATAAACTGTATGGCCGTGACAGGCTTCTTGCTAACTGTTCTTTTATCTTAAATTAACCCATTTTTATAAATCTATACCTTGCCACGTGGCTGGTGGCTTACCAGAGTCTTTACATGCTCCTTGTCCTGGCGGTGGCTGCAGTGTCTCCCTCCTCAGCCTTCCGCTTCCCAGAATTCTCCTCTCTCCTTGTCCCACCTACTTCCTGCCTGGCAACCTACTTCCTGCCTGGCAACCTACTTCCTGCCTGGTCACTGGCCATCAGTATTTTATTTATATAGAGCAATATCCACAGCAGCCAGTGGTTATTGTAGCTTGCAAGGTTCATAGCTGGGTAAAATTTATGATTAGTCTTGATGATAAAACTGATGATAATCCTCAGCATGGTGGATGGTACCTACCTACACTATGAAAGCTAGCCGGTATGGATAAAACTTCCAAGCAAGTACTATATTGGTCTTATCATCAAACTCTGGAGGTAACTAAGAGTGTTTGCAGTAGCCTGCAATTCTTGTGGGTCCATGGAATCATACTGGCCAACACCTTCAGAAGAGGTAAACCACTTTTCTAAGTCTCAATACCCAAAGCAAACTCTAGATCCACCACCAGCTTCTCTGGCCATGGGAGCTTAAGGTGGGGCCAGGCAACAGAATATTTCTCCCTCTCCAGATAATGCCATTGTGGATTTCAAATTGAAGATTGCCAATGTCAACTTTAGTTCACTTTTTAATGTATAGTCCAAGTTATATATTCAGAACCTGCCATATGTAAGATACTGATAATCTTAAAATGATTTATATTCTTAGATCCTGTACCCAGGACTTTCTTATTAGACCAAGATGGGCTATAGCCAGCCCTTTTTTAGCCAACAGAATGAAGGGAAGGTGAAAAGGATACCAGGAATTGTCTCAAATCATGTTTCAAAAAAATTATCCAAAATAAGACACAAAAAGAATTTGAAGGGAATATTATACTCTATTTTTTTTTTCAAATTTAAGAATATTGTGGTAATTTTAAATGTTCCCAACATGATGGGGTGAAAAGTCCACTCTGGAGGTAGCACATTATTACTACTTTATTATTTAGCTGGGTTTATAAAAACAACTTGGACTTACACTGTCTGATACAGCAGACATTGACCATGTGTTGCTCTTAGGCAACTCCAATACAGCTAAGTCCAGTAGCAGAGCAACAGAAACTGTGGAAAATCCTTTGTTTCTGTTTTCCTAATATTGATTGCATTGTAAAGTGATGACATCTTCATTCCATTAAGTAACATAAGTGAAATATAGCCTTAGTATGAATCTTTTTATTCTACTTTTAAAGTGCAACTATCAGACAACTTAAAATTCTGTTTGTGGCTCACATCATATTTCTGTTGGAAGGTTCTACTTTAGAGCTATGGCCCCCATCTTTCTCCACCATCTTCTTCCCTGTCCCCCCTCTGTTGCTCCTCTCTGCCTTGTCAGCATCATCGTCACAGTGTAGAGTTTTACAGACTCACCCTGTACCCTCATTGGACCTATGTCTGGCTGCCAGCTAAGGCCACTCAGGTGATGATGTGGCACAGTACACATAAGGCCATGGTTTTGTAGTTCCGCAGTGTATAACTGAGAACTATGTGATGCAGAATGTTAGCCTAATATGGTTTGGAGGCTGTAGAGCTTTGTCTATTTGCTGGACACACAAATGGAATATCTCTTGATTACTAATAGGACACTAAAGAGTAGTTTCTTTGTAAGAAAAAAAAAGTTTTATTTGGTTTCAGTTTCACTTGGCTCCATTGTCCATGGACTGTGGTTAGGCAGTATGTTGGATGGGAACATGGAGAGAAGACAGTACTACTTTTTTGTTTGTTTGTTTGTTTGTTTGTTTTTTTAAGACAGGGATTCTCTCTGTAACAGCACTGGCTGTCCTGGAACTCACTTTGTAGACCAGGCTGGCCTCGAACTCAAGATTCACCTGCCTCTGCCTCCCGAGTGCTGGGATTAAAG